CCTACATGCCATAGATATAGTACACTATGTTAATTGAATTTAGCATGGTAAACCACCTTACATTTGTAAAGCGATCTTGCTTAGTAATGCTTTATAGTTTTTCATAAGTTGCTAAACTTTGGTTGCTAGTATTTTGGTGAGAATTTCTGTATCATTGTTCCTATGGATGATTAGTTTTCAACTTTTACTTTGACTTTTTTTCCTACTATCAGGATAGTTTCAGATTTGTAAAGTGAATCAAGAGGTGTTCCTCCTATTCTAGTTCCAGAAAGAGATTATAAAGTTGGAGATAATTCTTTAAATACTAGTAATGCTTACGTTTGCCTATATCATACTTGGAGTTCTTTGAGCCTTTGGTTTTCTAGAATACTACTTTCCTCCAAATTTAGTTTTCAACTATTACTTCTTTGATTTTTTGTTTTTCTCCTTTTTCTTCTTCTGATACTCCTCTTAAATATGTGGTGCTAGAAAGTTCTGTCACATTCTTCTTCGAGACTATGCTCATTTTCCTGCATTAATTTCTCCACCATTCTTTCAATGCATACTTCCTACATACTACCGAGTTTATATGTTCTTTATTGTGTGTATGAAGACCCAGACTAATGTCCTGCAAAAGTTATATAAGCACTCCACCAGTGAGACACATCCGTAATCTTTCTCATTTGTATTTTGAGACGAAGTTTTGCTGATATACCCAGTCTGCCCTTCAACCAATGACACTCTTGACTCAGCCTTCTGAGTAGCTGGGACTACAGGCATGCTCCATCATGCCTGGCTTAAGTATATGTATTCTCTCTTGAAGTTCAAGACTATTATTGGTTTCTTGGAGGGAATATTTCATTTTTCTAATTGTACCTTAGAATCCAACTCTTTATTTTCAATTTAGTTTACCTATTAAGCTGTAATTTCCATTTCTTTTTCATATTCTCTACTACATGAAGCTTATCGCTACACTTTCCTTATTTATGAATGATTTTATTTCGTTTTTAAAAACATTTACAATAGCTATTTTGAAGTCTTTGCTATATCAGATATCTTAGCCCCAGCAATGACAATTTCTGTTGCATAGGTATCTGTTTTCCTTTTCATGGATTTGATATTCCTGTTTCTTTGCATGCCTCAAATTTTTTCATTCATAAAATCAAGATTTTTTGATATTATACAACGACAAGACCGTTTTTTTGTGTTTGTTTGTTTGTTTTTGGAGACAGGATGTCAATATGTAGCCCAAGCTTGGTTGTATCTCAAGATTGCTCTGTCTCAGCCTCCCAGGTGTAGGAAGTACAAGTGCGCAGCACAACACCTACCTTATGTAGCAACTTTGAAACCAATTCCTCTCAACCGTTGGTGCTTAGTGTGTACGTTGCTTTATTTGTTCAGTGATCGCATGAAATATTTCAGTACACTCTATTGGCCTCACCTGTGATGCTTCTAGTGTCTGCTCAGGAGCAGAGTTTACAATCACCCTAAGGGGATAAAGTTCTCAGCAGTCTTTGACTTCCTCCCTCCCTGGTGTCTTTGGTGTCTGTCTCTGTTGGTATTATACAGAGCTCTTCACTCCCAGGAACTGCAAGCTAATTGCTATACCATTTTCAGCCAAACTTGGTTTACAATTTTTCTGTTTGCTTGTGCAGATTCAGCTTCTGGAGTATGAATTGCTTTGCTAGCCCCTAGCACCTTCATAACAGGAGGCCAATCTCATTCCGACCTTTTGGGTAGTTTCTTTTCAGAGTTCTTCCAATGAAACATATCCCTATGGTTTACTGTCTTTCCTTATCACAAAGAGGGTAGATTTCCACAACAATTGTGTGTGTTACATTTCTTCATACCATGTGGTACAGCAGCAGACCATCACCTTTGTCCAGGCAGGGAGGCACAAGGAGTCATTTCCAGCAA